CATAGTAAAGTTCCACGCCCTTCCCCCCAGCTGCCCTCAGAACCGCAGCCCTGAGTCCAGCCAGCAATCTTGCCCATCTGCATAAAGAGGCTTTTTGTGCAGTGTGTGTGTGTGTGTGTGTGTGTGTGTGTGTGTGTGTGTGTGTGTGTAGGGAGGACTTGGAAGGACACAGTGGCTCATGTCCTTACCAGATGGGTGGGTGGGGTGCAGAGAGCTATGGCCAGGACTGAGCTGAGCATGGGTGGGCTGACATCAACCCTGACTCCCGATGCATGGCTCCCTGGGGAGGGACAGAGCTGTGGGTGGGGTCCTTGGTGTTCCCAATAGTCAGTGGAATGCCTAGAGATGGGTCACCCCAGAATCAGAAGCAGCCCCGGGGAGGATCCTGGAGCCAAGAGCTAAAGGAGGTTCAGCTGGTGCCTACTTTCAGCCTAACCCACTAATGCACCCCTCAAGCCCTTCCTGGTGGGGGAGGGGCTTCCCTGGGCCAGGCTGACACTGGTTGGGCTCTGTGCGGGGCCAGGTGCTCAAGATGCTCTGGAGATGTCGTATGTGTGCAAGCTCCCTTGACGCGCATGGCTATCCTGCCAGTGGTGTTGACCTTGCACACAGAAAGGGGAACTGAGGTGTGAGAAGGAAATCATACAAGGTTACAAGCGGAGTGGAGTGTTCGGACTTTGTTAAGTCTCTCTTGAGGCAGAGGTGGGACCTGAGCAATATAATGAAACTATGTCTCCATCTCCTGTGCCCGCCCTCCCCCCTCCCAACTATCTATCTCTATTTTCCAGTGGCACTGAGGTTTGAACTCAGGGTCTCAGGCTTGCTATGCAGGTGTTCAACTACTGAGCCATATACCCAGCCCTCTGTATGACACCTTAATAACAATAAAATTATATATGTGTATGTGTGTGTGTGTGTGTATACACACACACACACACAAACACACACACAATACATATAGAGAGAGGGAGAGAGAGAGAGAGAGAGAGAGAGAGAGGCGCTTGAACTCTGGGCCTGGGCACTGTTCCTCAGCTCTTCAGCTCAAGGCCAGTGCTCAACCACTTGAACCACAGCACCACTTCTGGTTTTCTGGTAGCTTATTGAAGATAAGAGTTTCACGGACTTTCCTGCCTGGGCTGGCTTTGAACTGTGATCCTCAGATCTCAGCCTCCTGAGTAGTTAGGATTACAGGTATGAGCTGCTGACACCCAGCTCAAAATTATATTTTTAAAAAATAGAGTCTCACTTGTGCTAGAATCTGCCAGAACCATGATCTTCCTATTTATACTTCTGATGTAGCTGGAATGACAGGTAGGAATCACCATGCTTCGCTTTGGTCTTGTGAACGTTATGCCTCAGTTGACCGCCAGCCATGATCCCCCTGACCTCAGTCTCCTGAGTATTCTGAGTATTTTGGTCATAAGTCACCACACTGAGTAGCTAGGATTCTGGTCATAAGCCAGATCTCACTTTGTTGCTCAGCCGGCCCTTAAACCTGTGATCTTTTTCTTGAGTAGCTGGGATCAGATTAAAATGCTCAGCCTAATGGTAATGTTGGGTCTTGAATTCATTGTTCTGTGTAGTCCCTGACACACAGTAGATGCTCAATAAATATTCGAGAGTGAAGGAATCCACAGCAGGGACTTCAGGGTTCTCCCTACAACCTTCCTTTTGCCTTCTAGGAAGAGGAGGTGTAGGGGGGAGACACCTCTACCTCTGTCAGTATCTGCCATATGCTTACCCATCAACCCATGACACTCACAGCTGGAGCTATGACACAGGAGAGGGAAGGCAATGTTGGTTCCGAGGAACCAACAGTGTGCTGCTGGCTACTGGGACAATGGAGACTCTAACCCAAGATGTCAGAGGTCAGCCACAAGCCGAAAGGCTGAACTGCCTTCTCAGCAGATCAGACCCAGGATTCCAGGGGCTCAAGGAACTTGGAGACATTTGGAGTCACCACTCCAAACCCTCAAGTGTAACCACTCTGAAATCACCATCACCTGCCGGACCCAGGCTGGACTGGCAGACCCTCCTCTCTTCCTGACACTGTTCCCTGGGAAAACAATCAAGGACGCCATGCTTTAACATGCTTGAACAATGGGACTGAGAGGAAGGGATGAACACATTCCTGTCCTGGGCACAATAAACTGCCCTTGGTCTGCCCTGGATCTCCTTCCCGCCAAGCCTCATTCTCTCTCATCTTCCAGGTTAGCCCCTTGGTGACCACCTGATTCAATCAGCGCAGCCCGGCCCCAAACTCCATTTTGGCCTCCCCCTAGGACAGCCCCCTCCCTGCCTGTCCTGGGTCCCAAGGACAGGTGGGCTGGGATGCTCAGGGAGGAGCAGGTGAGGCAGGAGCAGTTCCAACAGTTCCAACAGGTCTCAAGCCCCCTGGCTGGGGGGGGGGCAGGGTGGCCCTCTAGACAGGTGGGGGGGACAGGGATGGCTCTTCTCTGGTCAGGGCCCCCCACCTCTCCCCCTTTACCCCTCTGAACACTGGGGCATTGTTTTAGGCCCCAACACAGGGTGGCCTGTAGTCCAGGGGCTGAGAACAAAAGCCAGTTTAAGCAGGGCTCTGTTCTTCTAGTGCAATTTCAAGAATTTAATCAGGATCTCGGCTGGCTTGAGCCGAGGAAGAAATGGACTGAGGAGACAGGCCTGGGCCCAGAGCAGAGAGGGGTCAACCAAGAGCACGGAGAGACGCACTAAGTGGCAGTGGCCTCTGCCTAGGAGGTTGAGAACTCCAGATCTTGGATGGAGCCAAGCAATTAAAAGACCCCAGGGAGTTTTTCTGCCCTCCCATCATGGAAGGGTAGAGTGTAAAGATGGCCATGAATGAAGGAAGCAGGTCCCTATGAGACACTGAATTTACAGGAATCCTGATCTAGGACTTCTAGCCTCCAAAACTGTGAGAAACAGACTTCTCTGGTTTATAGGCCACCCAAGCTATAGTATTCTGTTACAGCAGCTCAGAAAGACTAAAACACATACTATCCCCAAAAGGAAAACAAATGACAAAGGGACTGAGTTTGAGCTCAACCTGCTCTGACTGAGGATAGAACTTTAAGGGGGCACAAACTGAGAGACTAGAATTGTGGTAAAAAGCCTGTGTGGACACCAACCCATTAGGATTTATGACCGGGCCATTCCACTTGCTGAATGAGTGAGCTACTTCATTCTCTGAGTCTTACTCTCCTAAGAAAACCATGTCATAGTTACACCTTCCATGACTATCCTGAAGACAGAATGACATCAACCACTCACTGGTCAAATATCCCCTGAGTGGACCAGGCCCTGTCCTGGGCCCTGGGTGCTTCCGTAGAGATCAGAACAGTTCAAGTTCCTATTCTCCTGGAGCTTGACACTCCAGCAGATGGAGTAAGTATCAGTCTGCTGGGGCTACGATAACAAAATGCCTTACCCTCTGTGACTTAGTAACAAGAGATTTCTTGCTCAGTGTTCTAGAAGCTAGAAAGTCCAGAATGAAGGCACCAGCAGGTTTGGTAAACGTGACATTTTCTAGCTGTGTCCTCACCTGGCAGGGAGGCCCAGGGGTTTCTCTTGAGCCTTTAATACAAGGGCAGAGACCTCCTGACTCGATTACTTTCCAAAGGCCCCACCACTTCTTAATTCTGCTGCCTAGGTTCCAACATGTGAGCTTGGGGGACAGCCACATTCTAATCATAGGAGTCGGTAGCCAGGTCACAAGTGACAGAGGAAAGAGGAAACAGGATGGGGAGAGTAAGTGCCTTGGCATGCTTAAGTAGGAAGTGTGGGGCTAGCCTCTCATTGAAAACACTAGAAAGAGGCACGAGAAGCAAAGAACTAATCTACAAGAACGCCAGGGTTTGGGGCAAGAGCAACAGCTCCCCGAACATCCTTCCAGGGTGAGGTGAGGCGGGAAGGGGGCATGAGGATGTACAACCACTGTGTCTGCCCCGGGCAGGCACATCAGAGCTGTCTGTGGTGAGCACTTTTTCTGCACTGGGCCAATGGTCTGGAAGAGCAAGTGCTGGCACCCCTCTCCGTCCCACTGAAGTCAACAAAGGGATCAAAGCTAAAAAAAAAAAAAGGCTGCTGCCCATTGCCCCCACATCTGGGCTGTCCAGACCTTGCCCTCCCTGTAAGGTGAGAAAGGAAGGCAGCCCTCCCCCACCCAGCCCCGTGAATTCTCCAGAGCCCCTGCAGCAGCACACTTGAAAGAGGCCGGGGTTATCTGGAGAATTCCAATTAAATCCACAGGCTCTGATAATTTGATAAGGCACTCCACAGCGCCCCAGAGTCAAAATATGCTGTTACCCGATCCCGTGTTTATGTTTCAGGACCGAGGGAGGGGGTGGGCTCAGTGGCCTGGGAAGGTGCAAGCAGACCCTGGAGGGAGGAGCAGGCACTTGGCTGATGGACGTCAGGCTGTCAGCTGAAGGTCACATTCGGGGCCTGGGTTCTATCACAGCAGGCACTCTGGGGTGGAGCTCTGAGAGGCAGCGTGGAGACCAGGCCAGGGCCAGGGGAGAAGAAACCCTTCTGACCTCTCTGTACATCACAACCCACACCATGGTCTGGGCGCCTCAGGTCTGCCTCAGGGCTGGAAGAATTCCTGTTCTCAGGGCCACCTCTTGCCACAGCAGAGGTAAACTGGCACAGATAACCAGCAGTACCTCAAGAAAAAGACCCAGGCCTACCGCTGGGAGAGATCTGAATTAATAGCCATGACTACTAATGTCCAGTGATGGCTACACGGCAGGACCTTTATGTTTTCTGTGATCTCATCTGCTCCATTACAGCCCATGATCTAGGAAGCGTTTGCCGAACAACCTGCTCCCCAAATGCAGACTCACCCTCATTTGCTAGGTAATCGAGGAAACCAAGAGCCAGACACTGGCTGACCCTGTTAGCCTTCCCTCCACTGAGCTCCCACTTCCCGGGCCTCCCCAGCCGGCCTCCGCTCTGGCCCCTACTTCCTAAGCATGCGGGAGAGGCCCCAAGCTACTACTCACTCTTTTGGGGGGTTGACATCCTCAGGTCGGGTCTCAAAGAACCGAAAGACTTCATCACATTGTGAAATGTGGGGCGGTAGCCGGACAAGTGCCTGTGGACAGACAGGAAGAAAGGATATTAGGTGCAGTGAACTTGGTAACAGGAAAACCCAAACAGGGTCAACTCAGCCAATGGAGATGGAGAGGCTCAAGGATGGTGCCATAAAAAACATAGTCCAGGCTGGGAATGTGGCTTAGTGGTAGAGTGCTTGCCTTGCATGCACAAGGCCCTGGGTTCAATTCCTCAGTACCACATAAACAGAAAAAGCCAGAAGTGGTGCTGTGGCTCAAGTGGTAGAATGCCAGCCTTGAGCACAGAGAGGCTCAGGGACAGGGCCCAGGCCCTGAGTTCAAGCCCCAAGACTGGAAATAAATAAATAAATATTAAAAAAATAAGTAATAATAATAAACACAGTCCAGGGGCTGTGAATGTGGCTTAGTGGTAGCATGCTTGCCTAGCATTCATGAAGCTCTGGGTTTAAGGCCTCAGTACCACATCAACAGAAGTAGTGATATGGCTGAAGTGGTAGAGTGCTAGTCTTGAGCAAAAGAAGCTCAGAGACAGTGCCCAGGCTCTGAGTTCAAGCCCCAGGACTGGCACCAAAAAGAAAAAAAAAAAGCTGTATAAAAAACAATCCACTACCCACTCACCCACTGACAACTCATTAACAAGTTAACCAGCCAACAAATTAAATAATTTTCCCATTCATTCCTCTACCCACCCACCCATATCAATTAAAAAACAAAAACAGCCAGTCAACTAATTAACCAATTTACCAATCAGACAGCTATTCAGCCAATAATTTCAACCAACAGTTAACCAACCAGTTGATAAACCAGCCAACCAAGCCACAAACATAACCATTGAACCCTCCTAGGTGTGAAACCTGAAGGAATTCTCTGGGTCCACAGAAAAGGTCCAGGATCCATAATCTAACAATTGGGGTCCCGCTCTCCCACCTGCCACAATCTAGCTGGGCCATAGCCACATTCCCTAGACATTGACTGCACAATTAATTATTTAATGACAAGCGGAAAACTGCTACCAAGGACTCCCCGATGCTGGCATGGAGTCTATTGAGCCCTAAGAGGATGGAGGTGGGAGGGAATCTTTGAAGCTGGGCCTTGAGGATGGGAAAGAACACAATCAGTCAAGGTGGGGGGGGGTCGCTGCAGGAGCTGTATGAAACTGGTGTGGTGGGGGTACACACAGCAAAGTGGGCAGGGGCCTAAGCTAATAGGGCCTCACTGGGCTGAGCTGAGGACGCATGGAGGAAGGGCGTCAGCTGATATGCGTGGGCTTCTTGGGAAGGTGGACAGAAACGAGGCTAGCAGTGTTACAGGGTTTGGACAGCAGAGAGGAGTGAAACAAGCATGAGTGAAGGCGAGGAAGTGGCCAGCACGGGCCTGCCATCCACGAGGGAATAGAGCACGGTAATGGTGAGAGCTGGTGCTGCAGCGGGTACTTCATGCCTCACAGCCAGGGACTGCACCTGATTAGAACTGGACCTGATCCAATCCAAAGAGAGGGGGGAGGAAGAGGAGAGGAGTGAGGCCAGGTATGGTCCTGCTTCCTAGGCCCCTCCCTCCAGTAGGTACTGGGAAAAATACTGGAGCATAGAAGGATCACTTGGGCCAAACAGACAGGAGAGGTCACTATCAAAACAGAGCTGAGGGATGAGGACAAGAGAAGCTAGAGTTAGAGCCAGAAAATGGAAAGAATCCTGGGACTGGAGGAGTCAAGGAACAGGGAGTATGAGATGCTGATAAAGACTCCTGGTCCATAAAATGGGACCTTGTCATACGTCGGTGCCTCCCTACCCCAGGCCCTGCTTCAGAACAATAACCTAGCGGCTGTCTGCCAAGCACCAGCCCTCGATGTGCCACTGGAAACCCTCACGGTGGTCCTATGTGGGCAGGACTTCCACCCCTGTGTTACACATGAGGGCTCAGAGGCCACATGGCTTGCCCTGGCCCACTGGTGGAAAAGTAGAAAGACCACACGAACACAAGTGCACACAGACAGAAACTTTAGTCTCTTCTGTTGATTATGTCCACAGATTCTAGCAGACTGCCTTGCACAAAGCAGGCATTCAACTAATATTGTTGAATGAGTGAATGAATGAATGAATGAATGAATGAATGGGTGAGTAATGGATAAACAAATAGAGCTTTGGTATCCAGAAGGCCAACATCCAATCACAGTGGGATATGATAATGAGGCCAAAGGAAAGCGTACACGCTACACAGGCAACATTACAGAACCGGTGGAGAGAAAAACAATTTGAGTCTATCACCTAGCAGTAGGCATTCTACCAGGAGACTCTTCTCCAGGCCAAACCCACACCCAGGCAAGATGGAACAAGATGTGACAAGACCAGAGCACTCTGCAAGTCCCAACTATGGATTGCCATGGGTCATCAATACCTCCATGGACAACCAGGAAATAGAAAAGGAAAGTGAACATGATGTGAGCTAGTACTCCCCTGCCAGGTACTGCCCTGTGCCAGGCCCCAACCCCTGCAATCAGCCTACAATGGTGAAGCTGGGCACTGCTGCTACAAGGAATCAGGAAGACATGACATGCCCTTGACAGTGTGTGTCGAATGATGAGTCACCCCATTTCATCATGGGGGTAGAGACCTCTGCCTCCACTTGGGATGAGGACCCTGAGGTGGTGGGGTGGGGTGAAGCCATACATAGGGTAAGTGGCAAATCCAAGCCTGTGCTCAGGACATGGCTGGGATGGCCGAGCCCAAGCTGTAGGATTAGGCTAGGGGTAGCACTAAGTCCCCAAAGGCTACCCAACAGCATCTAATATACAGAGAATATCCTGCTGTAAGGGCAGAAGGAAGGGGAAAAGAAAAACTGAGGGAAAGAGGCAGAGAGACAGCCGGCAGATAGGGAGATAGAGAAGTAGATGGGGGGAGCGCTAGGGATCCCTGGAAGGAAAGCCAAGGGCTGCTGGGGATGGCCGGAGGCAGGGCAAGGCCGCATGCAGTCGCTGCCTGTCTGGTGATCTCTCTGCAGCGCAGAAGGAACAGGGCAAGTTTCAGCTGGCCCTCCGTGCCTGCGCCTCCCAGCTCAGCGCTATCCCTATGCTGGGCACAAACCCCAGCACCACGGTGAACAGAGGGGCTCTTCATGCTGACAGAGAGCAGCGTGGGGGCAGAGGACGCGTGGGCTATGAGGGCCTCAGACAAAGAGGCCTTTCGTGGCAGCATCTTTACTTAATAGGGAGCCCGCAGGGAGCACGGGGAGGCTCCTGATTGCAGGCTGACAAGAGGCTCCCAGCCCAGCGCCAATGCCTTCAGAGCTGCCGCCAGACCCCGTTCTGGCCAAAACCACTTGGCAGGAGAAGCTGGTGTTGAGCTGTCTGTTTCTGGGTTGGGACCACAGTAATTGCCAGAGCTGGGAAACCCCAAGCCCAGTGCCCAGGATGGCAGGGTAAGGGCCAGATATCGGGTAGTGTTGGGGGTGGCATTGGGCCCAGGTCTCAGATCAGCAAGGAGACACACATGGTGCATGTGACTTGGGTTTGAGTTCTGGCACTACAGTTCACAGGCTGTGTGATACTGGATGTATTGCCTGCCCTCTCTCGGTTCTGTAGATTGAATGTGACATACTAACCACTGCCTGTTAACATGGGTACAAGGAGCCAGCATGGTTCCCAAGTAAATGCTGTCCTTGTTCACTGTTATAACCTTATTGTCATCATCTTTTTTGTTGTTGTTTTTGGTACAAGGGTTTGCTAGGCAGGTGCTCTGCCACTTGAGCCATACCTCCAGTAAGCCATCATTTTTTTAAGTGAAACTGGTGGTGCACAATAGAAAAGCACCAGAATGGGCCTCAGAAGACACCCCCACCCCAGCTCCAGTTCTGCAGTTACGTAGTTGCTGTATGCCCTGGGTAGCTCACTTTGCCTCTCTGTCTATTGATTCTTTCAGGATCAAATAGCCTAGCCCTGGAATTTCAAAGACTATCTTATGGAACAACTGCATGATAAGGAAAAGTGACTTCTATGGGCACATGTGAAATGATGCTGGAAGACTCCCCCTCCCCCCAGCCCAGCTGGCCTTGGGGACCACCATGCCCACTGGCATGGCCAAGCCTCTGAGAAGTCCTGCAGGAACTTTGCTGGGGAACTGTCTGGTGTAAACAGCAACTCTAAGAGAAGGTGGGGACTGTGAGTCAAAGTTTACAGAGGAAACAAAAGCCCAGAGAGGTTAAGTCATTCCCCACGGCCATACCACCAGGACCTGGCAGGATCTTCCAGCAGACAAGGGAGCCTGGAGCCCTTATCTGTGCAATCTGCTGCTCTACTGTGTCCAGCCTTCCTTACAGGTCAGACTGCCACGCTGGAGCAGCCCCGTGACAGTCCGGGGCACAGGGCTGGGTGAGCCCAGGTGAGGGACGCTCTGAAGGTCCTTCCAGCTCCATGGTCTCTAGGGATCATGGCCTTAAGCCTGCCAATGGTGCCATCGCCACTGAGTCCATCTGTCCGATCTACCCATCAACACCAAGAGTAACAGTCTTTCTACAGAGCTTGACTCAGGTGAGGGTGGCGTGAGCCTGGCCTTGTCCCCTCAGCACGGTCCCTGAGGTGTTTTACACCCTCCTTCCGGCCCGGCTAGCCTGTGATGGGAAGGTACAGAGGCCGGGGAGGGCTGTGGGCAGGGGGTGTACCAAGTGGTCCAAGTACCACTACAGATGTAGCTAGACTGCCAGGGATCGCTTTCCAGTCCTATACTGCCCTGGGTCTCAGCCCCTGCTCCTCCCCACAGGTTTGGCCAAGGGATGTATCCAAGCCCTCCAGTCAGACAGAGGAGTGAGATCTGGTCTGTGGAGATACACATGGCACGGGGCATGGGAGGAGCTACAGCTACCCATCAGATGCTCGTGCAACCTTACCCTGCCACCAAGCCCACCACTCCCAGCACTCCCAGGTGGTTGGACACACCAGTGCGGGAGGGGAGCTGGAGTCCAGCCTGCTTCACCTCCCTGTGTCCACACCCCAGCCCCTGGCCATTACCTCCAACCTGCCAGGCTGTTCTTCCCAAGAAAAGCTGTGGGGCTGCGGAACTTGTATACAACACAGTATGTGAAGGACCAAATAGCAGCTCTGGTTTAATGTTAATAGTGTCTAACTCCTGTGGCAGCTGAAGCCATTTCCTAGGGACTCTAAGATGCTGGGGCCCAGAGAACAGGTCAACCTCTGAAGTAATTTCCTCCTAGTGATCTATCTTATCAGCAGACTCTGGCTAGACCCCACCCCCCATTGGGGCCAGCTTTCTGCTTCCTAATGACCATAGGAAGATAACAGGATGCCTTGAGGAACTCCTGGTTTGGGGTAAGGAGAGACTTAGAAGTTAGTGTCTGTCCCACAGAGCAGAGGTATGCAGGGAGCGCTCAGTGCAGGAGGTGGCGCGTGGGGGGTGTGGAGGGGGGTAAAAGGACAGTGGGGGTTCAGCTTCACCAGGAGTACAACTGCAAGGTCTCTCCCAGGAGGCCGCTGTGAGCTAATTGCATTCCTAGTTGCTTTGCAAACAGGCTGACTAGACTACAGGATGCTGTGGAGAGACCCAAGCAGCACTAGCAGGCAGCCCAGAGGGCCAGGCTGAGAGGCTCAGCACTCAGCTGGGGCTAGGCCTCCCCTAGGGCCTCGAAGAACAGGGATGCCCATGGTGGCTTTCTTGCTAAGAAAGGCTGGAAACCCCATTCTTGGGTCTGCCAGGAAATGGAGTGATTCTACTAGTTTCTACCAGGCTCTTCCAAGCACAAGAATGGTCAGCCTTTCCTTGCCTCAGTCTCCCTCATTTAGCACCACACGTCCAGCCCAAGGCTTATCCACAGAAAGAGGACCACAGGACAAACATCCCCCCTAAGGGGAGAATCTATGGAAAAATTCACGGTAAGATACAGAATACTTGGGACCAGTCATCTCCGCCACGTTAAAGCCTTAGTTTCCAGTCTGGGACACGGAGATAATAGTGAGTGAGCTCGAGGGCTGGACCTGGTGTTTCCTTCCTAGATTCTCAGCCAATATAGAGGAAGAGCTAGAAAGATCAGTGTGAAGATGAGCCTGGGGGTGGGGGAGGAATTCGCCAGACCCTATCTCAAAACCCAAGCAGGGCCCGGGGTGTGACTCATTCTGTGGAGTACCTGACTAGGAAGTATTATAAATCCTGAGATTAAACACTAGTACCTCAAAAATTAAAAAAAAGTGAGCAAGTCCAAGAGAATGCCAGCGGTGTGCTGGCCTCTGGGCGTGCTCAGACTTCAAGCCTCTGTCTGACTGCTGAACTCCTCACCTCCAAAAAAAGAATTCAAACAAGCTCAGCCACGAGGGCAGCTAGATCTGTCTAGTCACACAGGCCAGGAAACAGACTTGTGAATAAATGCCTTAAACATGCCACAGATGAGTTGACCATGCTAGCACATTCTCTGTCTGTCTGTCTGTCTGTCTCTTACACACACACACACACACACACACACACACACACACACACTCACCACTCACATATTTCTCCCACTGCCCAGGAACAGAATAAATGGAGTCACATATGAAATCGTGAGTCTAGCTCCCACAGTCCAGCTCATGCTCACTAGTTCGATCAGTCTCCAACTTATTGAGGCCCCAGAATCATTAGATCATAACCACAGTTGAAGAAATGCCTTCGGAGCCCCTCTCGATAAACACCTGGCCCCCAAATGTCACACAAAACAATTGCGTAGGTGGTACTTAGTAACTGTTCCATGGTGATCTCCAAATCAGCTCCATACCCATGTATAAGATGAACAGTGAGATCTGAGCTGTCACCGTGTCACTGCACAAAATGTGGGCTAGCCATCCTGGGCTGGATCCCCCGGGGGATCCAGGTCATGGTCAGGCTTTCCACATCTGAGTAAAGAGCCAGCCTCGCAATTCAAGGTGCACTTAAACCTCCCACCCAACCTCACACTGTCCCATAGGTCTGAGGGGAGAAGAGACTGGTGGGCCCAGCCCAGCTGAGTATAAAAGGAACTATAAATAAAGACCCTAGAGGCTCTGAGCAATGTACATCCAAGCACAATGTCTGGCCATGGAACAGGCGGCACATGGACCTGGCTGTAAAGTTGGCTGGTAGGGAGTGATGCTGAATGGTCAGACATTGGACAGGGATGGGAATACAACACCCCCGCCCCCCACACTCACACAGAGCTGTGTTTTGGGTGGCAGTGACCACCGCTGCTGCCTTATCCCCACTGACCCTTCTAAGATCAGTGGGTTTCTCAGACAATCAAGAGCACAGATCCCAGCTTTCTAGTTCAGCAGAATTAAAGGTCAGTGTGTACAGCCCCGACTGCCTCATTCTCAGAGTAAATGCCTGTCCCACAGATGGCTGTCTGGTGGCCAGCCCACCCCCCCATGCATCTCCCACCCGTATAATCAAGTTAGGAGGCCCAGCCAAGCAGCAGCACGCACAGGAGCCCCAGAGCCCCTGAGGCGGGAGTCCTGTTCAAAGCAGGAGTTCCAGATAAGACACTATCAGTTTCCTCTCTGCCCAGTGAGGGAGATGCTTTTTCCCCAGTCACTGCAGATGCTCTGGGCTCCCCAGCTCTGGACCAGGCTGATTTGTGTCATAAATCCCAGCTGGAAACCCCTGCCCTCTGCCTCCCCTACCATTAGCTTTGTCGTCTACTTAACTTCTTGAGAGAAAGGAATAAAAGCCCAGGCTGCAGCCATCAGTTTAACTAGATAGAAACAGTGAGGGGCTTTTAAAGAGAAAAGTGAATATTGATCTAAGAAGAGGGGCATCTGGCTCAGGGCAATTCATCCAATTCTTCATTGGGGCATCCTTTTAGAACAAGGCATGTGACCCAAGCATAACCTACATAAAATTCAAACTTGGGTTTAATAGGAGGCAAATGGGAGAGCTTGTCTTCCCAGAGGCTTAAGAATGCCACTTAATTTAACAAGTCAGTTCTGATGGAACCACTTTTATGGCTAAGAATAATGACTCAGAATTATAAGATTCTGTGTGTGTGTGCTGGCGTATAAGTTGGGGGAGGAGGGAGGGAGGTTACATGCAAACATGCCAGTCCTGGGCCTTAAACTCAGGGCCTAGGTACCATCCCTTAGCTTGTTTGCTCAAGGCAAGCACTCCACCACTTGAGCCACAGCTCCACATACAGCTTTTTGGCTGGTTAACTGGAGATAAGAGTCTCATAAACTTTCCTGCCTATGCTGGCTTCAAACCACAATCCTCAGACCTCAGCCTCCCTAGTAGCTAGGATTACAGATATGAGCCATGGCCCCTGGGTAAAATATTCTTGAGTCAGAGTCCACAGTTAGTTTTGTTTAATTAGAAGCAAATTTTTAAACTACAAAACAACTTTTTGGTGATAGGGATGGACCCCAGGGCAGTGGGTACTATATCCAGAGTTCTTGGTTTTTCTGAGACAGGGCCTTACTATATAGCTCAGGCCAGCCTTGAACTCACTATATAGCCCAGGCTGACCTTGATCCTATTGCTTCTGCCTCTCAAGTGCTGGAGTTACAGGCACGCACCACCAAATCTGACTTAACTACAAAATTATATTACTCTAAAAGTCACTGGCTTGAAAATAAAACATTTTTAAAAATTTTTAAAAGAATAAAACATTAAGTTATTTAATCCTTTAAAAAAATTTCCAATAGAAGAGGCAATCCAAAAATTCATATGGAACAATAAAAGACCCCAAACAGCAAAAATGATCCTTAACAGAAAGAACAGTGCTGGAGGAATATCAATACCAAATTTCAAACTCTACTACAAAGCCATAGTAATCAAAACAGCTTGGTATTGGCACAAGAACAGGACCAATGGAATAGAAATGAAAATCCAGAAATGAACCCACAGACATATAGCCATCTAATCTTCGATAAGGGAGCTTAAAAAAAATAGATTGAAAGAAAGACAGCCTCTTCAGTTAACGGTGCTGGCAAAACTGGTTAATCACTTGTAGAAAACTAAAGCTAGATCCTTATACATCACCCTGCACCAGAACCAACTCCAAATGGATCAAAGGTCTCAGAGTCAAAGCAGACACTATGAAAACATTACAGGATGGAATAGGAGAAACCCTACGTCTTCTTGGCACAGGCCCAAATTTTCTTAATAGAGACCCAGAAACACAACAAATCAAAGAAAGGTTGGACAAATGAAATTGTAGAGCTTCTGCATGGCAAAAGACATAGCCAGCAAGATCAATAGAAAGCCCACACACAGATTGAGAGAAGATCTTCACTAGCCAAACAACGGACAAGGGCCTCATATCTAAAATATACCTGGAACTCAAAAAATTAAATCCCCCAACAACAAATCCTCAAAGAAACAACTGCCCAATAAATAAGTGGGCTAAAGACATAAAAGAAACTTCTCTGAAGAGGAAA